TAAAACATAAATTCTTATACATTTATGAAATATGAGAGAAATGATAGAAATTAGAATATTAAATAATTTATTATTGATTTAATCAGTTTAGTCAGTGTTATTCGTATCGTATAAACATAAATCGTTCTTAATAAAGTCAAAATCTTTTTGAAATTTTGAATATCGCTAGAAGCGCATGTGCAGTAGTAGAGGTATGGATATAAACAACTTTGGGACCAACTACTCTGATACGGACGGTCAATTCTCTTGGAGGTGCTTTTGCTTTTACACTTCGATTCTGATTTTTCACTCTCCATAAAGGTATACAGAAAAGGAGAAACTATGAATTACATTAATATTATATTAAGTACATACATTCAATATCCGATTCTTTTATTTAAGTAACATCAAGCCTAAGACCGAGACTGTGTTTGAGTGAATTGTTCTATTCACCCAAACTGTATGTATGTATGTATGTGTGTTGCAAAATAAACTAATACAGTGCTACCAACAAAACAGAAGTAAAAAACAGTAATGTATCATGTAGGACTATTTCGCTTTACTTCAAACGCATATTTCTCTCGTGAATATATAGAAAGTTAATTAAGATACTGTTGTTCCTTTAAACTGTACAAAGTAACAATACAGATAACAGAATCAACAATATAAATAATTGATTAATACGGTGTCTAGGTACATTTCCGCTAGGATTTCTGAATCGTTTCACTCATTCTCCCCACCTTCTCTACCAATTCCTTATCTGAATCAGCTGATTATTGTTTTCGTATTTCCAACGAAACAGACCGTTGCCGTAGTTATGATACGTGATATCTTTTAAGGAGTTGTATTTCCGGATTCGTTGATCGTCGTCGCGTCGAGACGGACAACGGTAGCCGAGGATCAATCAATCTCGCGATCGCTACAACATCGCCGACGCTCTCGAGGATCTCGAACAAAAAGGATTGACGTTTCGCGGGCGGGGTGACATCACTATCGTTTTCTAGTTGTGTTGTGTCAGTCACTCGCAGAATGACGCAGTAGAAGGTCGTCTCAGAGATGGCGAGCTTCCCAGTATGAAAATACAATTTTATGGCGAGGTAAATCGAATAATTTGTTTTTCGTTGCGCTGGAAACGATTCGAACGAGACGTAGACATATTTTCGTAAAGACGCGGATTAAACGACGGATCGCTGTGAAGCAATAGCTTTGTTGTGACAAACTGAATTCTACCCCTTTGTTCGACGAAATGTCAGGGTCGCTGTTGTTAATGTCAAACTATTTAATTTGCACTCCTCAGATTTAATAGATACTCGTATCATCTTTTTCATTCACGATAATCATTCAGACTTTTGCTTCGTCGTCGCTATGCCATTCGTGTTCTACCTTTTCTTAATCCTACCTAAGCGTGAAAGACGAACAGCTGCACTAGATTGTGTAATATATTCTTTAATAGGCGGAATAGTATCTCCCACTATTTTCCTCGTACTCATTTAAACATTATCAGATAACGATTTCGCAAATTTCGTTCTGCAAATAATTATCACGCCAACGATTAACGATGTGTGATTTTTTATTCTTTGTGTTATATTGTTATTAATAGAAATATATAAATTGCATATATTTCGTATACAAATAAATCTATTTCCTACGTATAATGTATAGATCCTTCTATGTTTATTGCGTTTTTTTGTAATACTTGCTTGTTAATATTTAAACACATATTTTATAGACGTCTAATTCTGTTAATATCTTATTTTTATGTATTGTTATATGTGCACGTATAAATTTGTGTACGTACATGTGCGTTTGCAATTTGGAGCGTATTAGAAATGCAAATATAACAATTGAAATACTTCTTTCATAATGGTGTTATTAAATGAATTGATGAACAGATTAAACAGTATAAAAGAGATGGAAATTATTAATACTATAGCGTTCAGATACATGTAATACATAATTAGATACGACGAATTATATGTCATGTACCCATGGAATGGTTTTTTCTTTGTTCAGGTAAAAATATTCAGTTTGGGAAGAAAAAATGTCTGCAGACTCTCCAAGGCGTGGTGTGCATAAAGGAGTACAAATTGTATCACCTCAGCCAATAGTCGATCGATCAATTATAGACAGTGTTGCAGGAATAATTAATGATATTGTTCCACAGGTTGGTATGTCAAAATCTTGTACTTTTTTCTTATTACATACATTTTTATTAAACTGATCTGCAGGCTTATGTTGGTACACAAAACTCTGAGAATAAAGAGTCTATATCATGGGCACGTTTTGAGTATGCAGACATTAATGATTCTGCCTTGTACCCTGACTACAATGAAGGCTCTAATACACCACCTTTACTATTGGTGCTTGGTTACACAACTGGAGTTCAGGTTTGATTTCGTTCTTTTCTTTGTCTTTCTTTTCGGATATATCATTTCTACATTGAAAGTGGTCATAAATTATAATAGTCGTCCAAAGACAATAAGCTCATAGCGATTTGTGAAGGCATATGCATTGAGAATTAATTTATTTTGAGTACTTGCATTATTTAAGTCTGAAAGGTCTTTATGGATTTATCAAGTTTCTAATTATAGCACGCTGTTATTGTAGTAGCTCTAAAATCTGTGTCTGTGTTTATGAATGACTTGAATCTTATTTTATCTAGGAGGCATAATATGTAAACAAGCACATTCATTATCAAAATAACAAGGTACATGTAGTTTGCAGAGACAGTATGATAATCGAAATTCAATCATACGAAGATCCTATATATTTAAGTTATATGTTTAAGCTTCAAAATATCATATAACAATTATGTAGAACGTTTCTATTCCGTAATGTTGTACCGAAAGTGATAAGGAAATAAAAGTTGACGAAATTTTTATTTAAAATACAGGTATGGCTGATAGCAGCGACAGGAGAAGCGACCGAAGTGTTATCATGGCGACAAGGAGTTGTGCGCACTCTAAGAATTTTACCAAATCCAAAGACTGATGATGAACATGTCGATTTGTTTGAATTGAAACGGCCGATGGTGGCAATATGTGATTCAGCTGGACCTGGACCACAATTTTGCAACATTAGTTTCATTTCATTGAAAACTGGGGAACAAGCTAAGAGCATCAAATTTAAAAGTCCCGTTTGCGATATTTTGGCGAATAAACGATCCATAGTAGTAACATTCTTAGAGAAGATAGCGATCTTCGATGCCCGAACATTGGAAGACATACTGACAGTCACTACTTGTTACGCTAGCCCTGGTCCAAATCCAAATCCTGTCGCATTAGGCACAAGATGGCTTGCTTACAGGTAAATGATCTTGGCAATGTTTCAACATTTTAATATTGTTACCGTTCATTTTAAATAATTATCAAATTACATTTTACCGGGACAATGGAATTTAATATTTTCAGCGAAAAGAAATTAATACCGGCGAAGAGGAGCAGCGGTGGTTGTGTGGGCGAAGGAGTGCAGAGTTATACAGCGACCGTACTGTACGCGGCGAAGTCTTTAGGAAAAGGATTACGCGAATTGGGAGAAACAGTCGCGTCAAGTTTAACTGGGAACTCGGTATCACCGATAGTTATTAATAATACGGGCAGCGATGTGACCCAGCCCGGGGTGATTACGATATTAGACCTCCAAGCTGCGAAAGAAGAAAAAGAGTTAGACGATGCAAATATAGAGTCTGTAATTGCTCATTTTACTGCCCATAGCGATGCAATCGTTGCCATGACTTTTGATCTAAGCGGCGCATTGCTAATGACCGCTGACAAAAGGGGACATGATTTTCATATATTTAGAATCCAACCGCATCCAGGTGGTCCCATCTTGGCAGCAGTACATCATTTGTATGTTTTACATCGTGGAGATACTACTGCAAAAGTGCAAGTACGTGTTTTAGATCTGAAATCGCGACGGACTTGATTCCGGAAATGAAAATAAGACTTCAGGGTTAAAGAATTCTAAATTTATTATTATAGGATATGGTATTTTCAAGTGATACTCGTTGGGCGGCAATTTCAACTGTACGGGGTACGACTCACGTTTTCCCGGTCGCACCATACGGTGGGCCGGTGGGAGTACGAACTCATTCCACGCCTCATGTTGTAAATAGACTTTCAAGATTTCATAGAAGCGCTGGTTTAATGGACGACGGCACCAGATCTCATTCTCCCGTATCTCATACAGAGTTGCCTTTGTCCGTGTATCCGTATTCTAATCCAAGACTTCCTCCATATCCCCATCCAACTGTACTGCACCCTCTGGCACAGATACGTCAACCATCCACGTTAAACTACGTGAACAGTCAAACTCAACAAACGTAATTATCACTTATCGAAAAGTCATCGGTTACCGATAGTTCACATGTACTTATTCATTGCTTGTCTTATCCTATAGACCGCAGCAAAGACAACGATTGCACTCAGATGACAGTGGGTCATTACCGTTAAAAATATGTGCTTGCTTCGCACCTCCGAGAGCCTGGATGTATGCACAAAGAGAATCCACTGCTAAAATTATGAAGAGAGCTGTCGATTCTTTGTTCATTATGGCGTGCCACGGGAATATGATACAATATGATTTAGAACCTAAACCAGCGGCAGGTAAATAAAATGTTCATAAAAATACAAATATTTAGTATTACAATACACCGATATCTTATCATTCGATGATGCATTAGGTATACCAAAGGAGAAGGTATGCGACGATACGATGATCGAATTGGAGGTCGAGGCTAAAGGTCAATGGCCTCTTTTAAGATCTCCGAATTCGTTAGAAATCGTACCACCCTTGCTGACATCCAGCCCTTTCTTGAGCGTTAACACTGTACCGAAAGATATTCAATATGGTGATTTAGCGGAGGATCGCTGGTTGAGCCAAGTAGAAATCGTTACGCATGCTGGTCCACATAGACGACTCTGGATGGGACCGCAATTTGTTTTTAAAACTTATAACGCAACTAGCGGGTTAGTTTTTATAAATGTACAAGATGTGTATTCTCGCGTTCTCAGGATATCCTTTGATGAAAACATTTATCTATTACGCAGAACTTCTGTTAATCTTGTCGAAGCCGAAGCTGTTGAAATTGGGGTGACCGGTGGATCTCGTCCGGCGAGATCTAATCCAGTCAACATGCCGCACGGTGCATCTAGATCGCTGGTACCTGTTGTCATCGATGGATCAGGAAGTAAGTTTATTGGAAATCTAAACAAACTTAGCTTGTTAAATGTACTATAAAGTGTAAGCAATTGATTGTTTAGAATGTACGACTTACGCGACATTTCCTGAACTGCGTAGGTAGTTACGAGCAATCTCCACGGTTCATGGAAGCGTACGGTGATTCCTTAGATAGTGACAATGTGGGAGTCGGTGGTGGCGAGAATCAGTTGAGAGAAGATCTTGCGGAAGCGATGCTGGAGACGTCGATCGCACCTCATCGTGCACCAGGTAAGTAAATTACTCAATGGAAAGTGTGGTGCTTTATTTTGTCGAACAGTACGAATCCTGATATATCCCACTTGTCGATGAAATTTGTTTATATATTATATTACGACGATCCGTAAGAATAAGGGAAGCGTTTTCTACGATTCGTATGAACATGTAACGAACACTTGAGTATCTGAGGCACACGATTTTCATACATTCTCAAGTTTACGATTCTTACAATCGTGAAAATCTTCTTCCTGAATGCAGTAATTTTATTTCTTTCAGTGATCGTTATCGAGTACATTTGTACTGAGACATGAGACATACGTATAAAACGAGACTGTTGTACTTTACTTGAAAAATTTGCATTAACATTAATTACGGGGGTATTTTGCGATGTTTGCAAGCACGTATCTAAAAACGGATACGATGTCCGTGCTTTCTGCATTTGGTGACGGATGATTGCTAGATTGTAAGTTTGTGTGGATACAGAACTGGCCAGAGGCAGGTATCTCTGTTTTCTCTCCAGCCCCCACCCCCTTCTAATGATATTACATCTAATCACTAACAGCGATAAATATCTCTCAACGTCTACCCCTTTAAGTCGAGGTAAACAGTTGGAAAAAGGCTGCGAGCAGTCTACTAACCCCGTACAAATTTTTCCTTTTGCTCGAAATTCCAACAAACACACGAAATCAAAATTTATATATGTAGTTCGAAAGTAAATCGTTCGAACCCCGTTCTCTTTACGACATATCATACGATTTCGACACGTGTATTGCGGAGAAAAGTTTGTGCTTTTGTGGTGTGCAGTGTGAAAACTCAGATCAAGTATATCAGCTTCTACATTAGTAATCACGAGTAATTACTTTCTGTTTATGTATCTCTTTTACGCGTCCTGTTCTTTCTAATTCTGTACCCTTTCACGACGCAACATTTTGCATTAGCGTCCGAAGGTCGATTGAAACTTCTCCTTTGTCGAGTCGTCGTTGAGAAAAGAGAAAGAGTACCACTTCGTTTTGTATCTCAGGCGAATATATATTTTGTTAAAGAAACATTGAAATACAAAATTAAAACAAGAGAGAAATTGTGAATCGATATTGATACCTGCCAACGGCTTTTTCTGTTACTAGGGAGGCGATCGGTATTTGAAAGGGTGGGTCAACCGGTAACTAAAGTCGTCAACCCTCTGGGCACCGTGATTACCGTGTCGGCCGATGAGGAGGACATTAATTCCAGTCAGGAATTCGATTCCGTGGAGGACAGCCACGTACCGGAACCACCTAGAAGCGTGTGCGCCGAGGAAGGTCCGGCATCTCTCGGTGATCTAGAACCGGAGAGCCAGACCCTGCGCGACCTTACAGAAATTTGTGCGGAAATGCGCTCGGCTAGCGAGCCGGCAATCGATAGCGTACCGGACGAGAACATCTGCGAGGTGAAAGAGAGAAAAGCTCTCTGCGTCGAGATCGCGGCGATCACGAATCCCGGATGCTCTACCATCGATTTCGAGAAGGAAGAAGCGTTTCGCGACGTACCGACCAGTTTGAGCCTCTGCGTGGAACAAGGCGAAATACCGAGCAGCCCTATGACTCAGGCCAAGGAGGCAGCGTGGTCCAAGAAACTCAAAAGAGAAGACAGAGGAGCCCACGAAAAGAGCATCTCCGAGGCACAGTACGTGGTTAATTGTAGCGATGATAGCGTTCTTTTGGTAGAGAATAAGATGACACAGGGACGGAAGAGTTCGTCGTCGCATTACAAAACAGAGTGTAAGAAAAGCTGCGAATCTGAAAAGGTCGCGAAGAAATCTGGGCGAAACGGGTCGAGCGTGAGTTGCAGTAAACGAGACGAGGCTAAGACGCCTGCTAAGAGATACATTTTAAAAGAACAGGATGATAGCATTGTTATAGAAGACACCGCTTACGACGATTCTAAGTACAGTTGTGGCAAGAAGAAAGGATGCGAGAAGAGCGTAGTTGAAGATACCACGACTAAAGACGGCGAGTGTTCGAAGGAAATTGCAATAGGCAAATCTAAATGCAAATCAAAATCTTCCACTGTTTACGATTGCAAACAAATCAAAGGCGAACTGGCCGCGGAGAGCAAGAGCTCGGGTAAAAACGTGGAACTGGATGCCATCAGCGAAGAGACTGACAGAATGGAAGATTTCGAATCGACGATCAGCTTGGATGTATTAACCAAGGAAATGTACAAATCTCCGCCGTCGGATTCGACCGACGATTTCAGTTCAAGCGAGTATCACATCGTCGATACAGCTTGTTGCAACAAAGATGCAACCTCGGTTCAATCCGATGAGGACATCGAACACATTCAAAGTTCCGAGATTACACAGTTGCAACAAGCTGAATGTGCCGACGGTGATAAATGCGCGGACGTTATAAGCTGCACGAGTTCTTCGCCCGTTATGCAGAGAAAAAATAGCAAGAACACGATATCTGACGATGATTTGGAGTTCATACATTCTTCCGAATTGATGGAAACAGCTGAAAGTTCTTTTAAAGAAGATTCGAAGTTCGAAGCGGATAAGGGCAGCGATAGCGAACCAAGTACGCTTAAAAGTAAGGGCGCGTTCTCTGATGATGATTTAGAGCACGTACAACATTCAGATGTTTGTGCTGTATCGTCCGAAGAATCTAAGAGCGGCCGAGAAAGAAGTCCGAAAAAGTCTCAGGAGGTTTCAATGGAACAGGGATCGAAATCGAGAAGCTCGAAGAAGACAAAGGACATCGTGGTGATTGAGAGCGACACGTCGGCTGCTGATGTAACTGTAATAATCAAACCGGTCGAAGGTTGGAAAAGTAAGATTACGGAGAAGAAAGATGAACTGGATGAATATGCTACCACGAAGGATACACCCGTTGGTGAAACCACTAGTCCTCTGAAAAAAGCTAAAATTCGTTCGGCTAAAACCTCTCCCTCGAACGTCGCACCTAAACGATCGCAGGCTGGAATCGAAATAATCGACATTGACGCGATGCAAAAAGTTGAGATGGAATGGCAGAAGCTAATCGACGCCACGACTACCTCGAAATGTGAGATTCTCTCTGTACCGGAAGTTACTGAAACACGTCCGAAGAAGTCGCGGAGGAGCAAGAGATCCAAATCTGAAAACACTGGTCAGAGTTCCGAAACATCGGTCGAGAAACCCATTGAAGAAGTCGCGAAAAAGGCAAATTTGCAGGAAGCAACGGCCGAATTTTCCTGGAGTTCGATCTTAAAGAAGAAGCTGAGCTCTCCAGCACCGAAGATGGAAACGTGGAAAGAAGACGACAAGGTACAGGAATCTGTCGATTCCTGGCCATTGGCTGCTTTAGACTTTGAGGATACGCCCGTTCAGTCTGCGAAAATCTCTTGGAGCTCCGTTGTTAAGAAAAATCATGCTGGCTCCGGGGAACAAGGAACGCGAAGAGAGTCCGAGGACGGAGCGATTACGGAAGAAGCAAGCGTCATCGAGGAAAAGAAAATTCGTCGAAGGCACGTAGCCTCTTCGGCTCGATCCTCGACAGTAATAAGCCAGCTAAGAGATGCCGTTAGAAAAGCGAAGATGATAGAACTTCCCGTACAGACGGCAGAGGGATCTTGGAGCTCTATTGTAAAGAAAAAAGTTGCTTCCTCCGCTGAATCGAGCACGCAGATGCTTCGTAAGAAGCCGTATCTTACAACCGATGATTCGGAATCCGCTTCGGATCAAGAGACAAAGACTTCCGTAACGAAGTCATTTAAAAGCTCGGAGAATTTGATCGACGAGTCCACGGACGATTGTGTGTTTCTGAAGTTTTCGAGCTCGCCTACAGACGCATCTCCAATCGAGAAGAACGAAACGAGTAAAAGAGGCTCGGGCTTGACAAAGAATTGGAATGTTGCCGAATCACTGTCGGTAGACCCGACGTTTTCGAAGGAAGATTCATCGGAACTAGAGCGAGATACGGAGCCAGAGAAGAGGAGCGACTCTGAGCAGGAGATCGTGCCTGAGCGTTCGAGCTCCTCGGACGAGCTGAACGCAAACGTGGTGTTCGCGAGTACCGAAGAAGATGTGGGCCGCGATACGGCCGAGAGAAGCGGTACGAATGGCTCAAGCTCCTTGATCTGCGCTGTATCCAGGAAAAGCAGCAGGTTGAAGAAAAAAAAACGTAGATGAGTAGAGGATTGTATGGATGTACCCAGGGCCAGCCTTGCCCTTTATATACTTCTGATGCAAGTAACGGGAGTAGATTAGCAGAAGTATAAACCGGGAACTGATCGTGTTCCCGACTCTTATTGTAATCGAGTTACTCTGGTCGTTTCACCAAAAGCATCATTCTAGGTGATGAGCGTCTGTATTATACAATCACTTAAGGGAATAGATTTCGGCTCCACTTTGTTTCGAAACGGGTGTCCGGAATTTTCAGATTTGGTATTTTTTTGGAAATATTTTCTCAGGAAAAAAGGGCATGAAATTGAGATAGCGACAGCATGTTGATTTTTTAATTATCACTGTAGAATATTATCAGCACAAAAAGTAATTCTCTGAGACACTCGATGAAATTTTTTAACACAAAGGCAAGGTTGTACCGTTGAACGTACATCCATCGACGTTCGAGTCGAATGCGTAAAACGAACTAAAAATGAAAAAAATATGGAAAGTAGGGAAACAACATACGCGTACACTCTTTGAGCATACGTAGAACATTTCGAGAACGGGACTTCTGTGTGTAGGTGTTTAAAGAAAAGCAAAAAGAGAAAAAACACCGTCTGTGGTTCGAACAGTTATATAGTTAGCGATTTCTGTTTCGACTGCCTCAACATCGGCAGGTTTTAAATGAATCCGCTGTGCGTTGTCCGTGTGGTGCATGAGAGAAGTGTTTTCTGGCTTCGATTATTACCACGATCGAAATTCAAATGAATCGCGACTTAAATCTGGCTGTTTCGTTCCGATATGCACGGTCGCGAGAGATATTATTATTACACATTTTTCAATTCAGCACAAAGCTATTCGTGATCGTCGTGTTCATCTTTGTTTTGTATGCCGTCAAGACATGCTTTCCATGAAAGCTATCTATAATATAATTTCACGGATTTAAACGTAGCATACTCGACATTCGATTGCTGCTTCAATAATCCGTTTGGTCGTAAAAATGATTAGGCTCGTCTACGAATGAAACTCGTGAAGCAACTACATTGATACTAGGTCTTTGTTTGAAACGTACAAAACATTGATTGAACTTGGGACGAGTTCTGATAAAAAATTACTGTCATGACATACACAATACTTCATTCGTGATGATTATGAAACGTTTAAAGATCAGCCTGCTTTGCAAATGGAACTATTTTAAATCCAAAGGATTTTATTTGATTTACGATGCAAATCGTAAGAGACAGGTGAACGATTCACTGTCTATTTTATCGTAAAGCTTCGATCGTATATAAATTCGTAAATTCCTATAAATAATCGGTAAATTAATATAAAAAATCGTATCATTGATATGCATAAAGTACGAGCGCATTCTTGCATTAATATACGCAAGCAAGAATTTCACTGGAAACGGGATTCTGTGTATGTATCGTTTCAGAATCTTGTTTCAATACGCTAGATGACTTTCTTTTCCTTTTTCGTGTCACTCGAGATACGTTCTTGGTCCACACTACTTCACTTAAATATTATAGTTTCGATAGACAAACGAATTTCAACCTGTTGAGTTCGGTGCACGTTAGATTTCATGGCTCTAGACATTCTTAACATTGTGAAAAATACTCCATCCTCGTATTTGAACATTTTCAAATTTTGTCGATATTCGATTTCTTCGTAGAAGTTAGAGAGACTTCTCGACAGAGTAGATATATTTTGCACACGTTGTGTCGTAAATTATTATCGATCTCTGTCTAATCTTAATTACGAATTAGAAATTTTTATGTAATCTTCGAGTAAAAACTGTCCCAAGAGAGCCAAAGATGGGTTGTGATCGATTAGTTGTGTAATGTCGACAACGAGGTTGCAGTTTCACATTCTCGGTTAAAAATTTTCTTAAACAACGTCTTGTACGCTGCAGGATTGTCTGTCTAATTTCGCAAAACTTATTTAAAACAATTTAAGTGGTCGCACTGTACAGTTATTAATATTACGCGAGCATATTTTATATTTAATAATTCCGGAAACGACATTTCTGAGAAGCAACAGGAAATATGACTCCGTTTCTTAGTTCAATTCTGTTTCTCACTGTCTCTTTGATAATAATCTGTACAAATTACCTTATCTGTTCACTTCGTCTTTGATCGAACACATCGATCAAGACTTCACGTCACGTTTAAAAGGAAATCGTGCGACGCGTCGATTATTCGTTTATATAGATAAAAAGTTATATTATAGATACATATATATAATAATTCTAACTCGTTAGAGTTTGTTGCTAGTACAAATGGAAAACGACACGGGATCTTTTCGGTCGAATTCGAGGAGAGATCGGTATTTCGGGGATTTAGCCGTGAGATTTAGTACAAAGCTTTTAATCGTCACTTTCGTCCTCGCAAGTGCTGTGATTATGTTCGTGATTTCGCTGTGTTAATATCAGTGCTACGTCGAGGGAAACTGGCCGAAAGCATAGGTGCAATGGTTTTAACTGTAATAGATATCATCCTGCGAGTGGAATTTTACTGACAACGATTTCTATTGCTGCACTACCGCTGCAATTTATTAGTTGTTAAAATTGATTGACTTGCTGTGTCGATAACTTATTTATTTTAATTATTTATCATGCGTACGCAAATGTATGTACGTGGTATTACATTACCGCGTGTATTTTATTTATTTTTATCTTATCAGTTTGTGAAATCAATTCTGTTTTGGCGGAGATTAATGATTTAAGTGACGAAATTAATCAACAGTTTTTGTCGTAATAATTCACTCTACATTCTTTCTACAATATGCTTTTGATACAACTTTTGTCGTTTATTTTATTGATCGCTGCGATCGTTTTATTACCTCGAGAAGTTAGTTGAAATTTTTAAGATTTTCACTTAAAATTATCGAGAAGTTAAACAAATCAGCTAACAATCTTATATTGTTAATAAGCCAACTTTTACAATTATTTATTCTTGTTGATCAATAGCACTTTACATATTGAATTATGTATCAACATCTGTTATCGACTTGACTTTTATTTAAATGTTAATATAGTAGTCTAGCAATAACGGTTTTATTATATGAATTACATTGCAGACATTTTTATAAAGCGCACTTTTCAAGATTTTTACATTTTGCGAAATGTAACTGTACGTCTCTACAGAGGAAAGCTCCATAAAAATAGAGTTTTTAACAAAGGATACGCTATATTGCTCTCTAAAGTCATGCAATTTTAATATCTCTTATATATGTGT